CAGCCCCATGCGACCAGGCATGGGCAGCAGTGGAGTCAGGGGGCTATTTCTGCAGTAGGGACCTTACAGCAGCTTTCAAGCCACTAAGGGCCACAGCAGGGCCTGCCGCTACATGCTGTTTGGAGGCAGCACAAGGTAGGTAGGAGCATGCGACAACCAATTGCTTTTGTCTAGAACAAAAAAATGGATTGCCAAGGCATACTCCTCTTATCACTGATGCACTGCTCCTCTGTTTTCATCAAGGCATTGATCTTTTCAGGCCATTGTGTCTATAGGTATTTCTCCTGGAGCGAAAAATGCCACTAGCAAGATGTCCTTGGAAAGATTCTCCAGAATCTGCTGCTGCATCCAAAATGCCTCAGTATTTTGGGAACTGTATGTCACCTAGCCTGCTACAGCAAGATGCAACTCCCCTCCCTAAACTCCACCTGCTGTTTCTAAATACCTCCTGCAAAGTCATGAAGCCTACAGGAAGAAAAGACCCAAGACAATCAATCATTGAGACATTGTCTATGTCACAAAAATGGCTTGCACAAAGCTAAAGGTCCAGCACATCAGTGAAGTCAGACACAGCTCCATTCTCAGTAATGGACAAAGTGTAACAGAGGAAGCAATTTGCACAGCAAGTTTATTTACTGAGCATGCTAGTCAGGCTCAACTTGAGGCCACACTTCGCTGTGTTAATAGGAGCCTGGCTAAGTTAAACTCACCTGGTGAAGGGTTATTGGGCACGAGGAAATAACCCTCCCTGAACCTGCAGGAACAGGCAACAGGAACACAGATCAGCACTGTTAGAAATATCTCCCACTGGCCCTTGCATTCAAACATCTGCATTCTGCTACACTGTGCCTACGCAGTACCTTTATCAACCAGGTTTTCTCTTGATTCACTCTTCTTCCTTCCACAATAGCCCAGAGAATCAAATCCCATCTTACACATTTTCATGCAACACCTAGAAACTGAGAAGCCACTTCTGCAAGTTCAGTAGCTGAAGCTGAGAATTTAAATTTAAAATGAGACTTGCTTATTATTTTCAGAGAAGGAAATAATAAGAAATTTTTTCAGAAATTTGCCCAATTCTCCAAATGCAAAGAGAGGTTATGAGAGTTAAGCAAATGGTTGAATAAATTATATTAACAGGACTGAGGCACTTCAGAAAAATACTGGGGAGAAGACACTGTATGGCTCAACATCCTTGAGTCTAGTATTTAGGTACATTTTTCTGTGTGAGAAAAGTCCAGGCTAAGGCATTTGAGCCTTAGCAGTAAGGGAACAGCAATCAAAACTTAAACGCCAAAAAATGCACGTGAACCTTGCAGCATCAGACACAAATTCAGACTCAACTGGTAACCAAGTAACTTTATTTACACCATGATGTTTGGAACGCAAGTGGTAAGCAAGTGGTATAGAAAAAAAATCCTTATGAAGGAGAAAAAATAGGATAAGTCAGGCATTAATTACCAAGAACTCCTAAAAAGGGCTTGATATAAGTGTTAAAAACAAACCAAACACTCCTCCCTCTTCCACACCCAATGCCCCAAAACACCAATGTTTTCAACTTGTTCTATAAGTACGGACTGGGAAGAGGTAAAGGCAGAGCAAGAAGAGAAAGAGAGAGCCACATGGGCTCTCCTTCTGGAGAGCAGCTCTGCAGAGAAAGACCTGGGTGTCACGGTGGACAACAAGGGGACCATGTGGCAGCAGTGTGCCCTCGTGGCCAAGAAGGCCAATGGGATCCTGGGGTGCATTAAGAAGAGCATCTCCAGCAGGTCGAGGGAGGGGATCCTGCCCCTCTGCTCAGTCCTGGTGAGGTCACATCTGGAGTACTCTGTCCAGTTCTGGGCCCCATAGGACAAGAGGGATATGGAGCTGCTGGAAAGAGTCCAGCGCAGGGCTATAAGGATAACCAGTGGCCTGGAACATCTGCCCTATGAGGAGAAGCTGAGGGAACTGGACCTGTTCAGCCTGGAGAAGAGAAGGCTGAGAGGGGACCTGAGCAGTGTCTAGAGGTACCTCAAGGGAGGCAGTGAGGAGGATGGTGCTGGCCTCTTTTCACTGGTGGCCACTGACAGAACTAGAGGTAATGGCCACAAACTGAAACACCAAAAGTTCCACAGGAACGTAAGGAAAAAATTTCTTAAGAGTCAGGGTGATGGAGCACTGGAACGGGTTGCCAAGAGAGGTTGTGGAATCTCCTTCTCTGGAGATCTTCAAAACCCGCTTGGACGCAGTCCTGTGCCACGTGCTCTAGGTGACCCTGCGTGTGCAGGGGGTGATCTCTAGAGGGTCCTTCCAACCTTAAGCATTCTATGATTCTATAATAGTGACTGTGATCTGATGACAAGTATTCTCTGAAAACACTGTACCACCAGCCAGTGTTCTTTATATTTGAAAGTTTAAGTGGGCCAACTTACCTGAATGTAATGACTATAAGTGACTAGGAAGATGAGCATTTAAAATAAGAAATATAAAATAGAAATTTAATGACATCCCAAAATAATACCCCAAAAAAGAAAGAAAAAAGTAGAATGGCAGAAGAAATGGTAAGGATTACCAGCTAGAAGAAAAAAAAAAATCAGACACTTGGGAAGCAATAAAATATCAGCCACCAGTAGCATTAAGGACATCAAGATTTCAGACCCATTAATGCATACTAGGTCATGCAGAGATCCACCACTAGATGCTGCTAGGGAGGAAAGAGGAAAAAAAAAAGGCAACAATGAATGAAAAATGCAGAAATATTCACCAGATCCTGTTGATCTGTATTTGGAACAAAATAAAGGCTGAATTTAATTTTGTATAACAATAAGGAGGGGACAGAGATGTTAATACTTTTACTAAAGGAAGATATATGGCAGCAGTTCCTACAATTAAGTATTTTTTCCAATCAAAATGCCCATCTTCCACATACGTATCTTAAAGGAACTATTTGAGACTGAAGTGTCTTTAGTTGGTGATAAAATAATGCATTGGTTAATATGAGACTCAGCCAACAATGCCTTAGTGACTAGCATCATTGATGTCACTCAATCACAAATTCAAAGAAGGCAGTCAAACTTCCTTTAAGTATGTTACAAATACTGCTTTGTTACTCAATCCTTCACTGATAAGATTAATCTGAAATTATTTTAGGGGTTGACCTGCTGGAAAGCAGTTCTGTAGAGAGGGATTTGGGAGTCCTGGTTGACAACAAGTTAACCGTGTGTCAACAATGTGCCCTCCTGGCCAAAAAGGCCAATGGGCTCCTGGCTGCATCAGGAGGAGTGTTGCCAGCAGGAAGAGGGAGGGGATCCTCCCCCTCTCCTCAGCTCTGGTGAGGTCACACCTGGAGTATTGGGTGCAGTTCTGGGCTCCTCAGCACAAGAAGGACATTGAGCTTCTAGAGAGGGTCCCGCACAGAGCCACAAAGATGATGAAGGGACTGGAGCATCTATCGTATGAGGAAAGGCTAAATGAGATGGGCATGTTTAGTCTAGAGAAGAGAAGGCTGAGAAGAAATTTGATCAACATGTTCAAGTACCCGAGGGGTGATTGTAGGGAGGATGGGCCAGGCTCTTCTCCGTGGTGGCTGTTGACAGGACAAGGGATAACAGGTGTAAGTTGAAACATCGGAAGTTTAATCTCCACATGAGGAAAAACTTCTTTACTGTGAGGGTGACAGAGCCCTGGAACAGGCTGCCCAGAGAGGTTGTGGAGTCTCCTTCTCCAGAGATTTTCAAAACCCACCTGGATGCCACCTTGTGTCATGTGCTTTAGGTGTCTCTGCTTGAGCAGTGCAGTTGGGCTAGATGATCTCTAGAGGTCCCTTCCAACCTTAACAATTCTGTGATTATGAAAAAGAGCATTACTCAATGCAACACAAAAGCCTCTTTAAAAACTATCATTGTAAGGAATGAATATGGCATTGTTTAAATAGACTAAAAACCTCACACATGAGCAGATCTCAAAATACAGCAAACAGGAAGCCAATAACAAGCATGGCAGAATTTTGCAGTGTCACTTAAAACCAAATTCTCATAAAGCACGTAATATTTTTACTGGTGATCTGCAAGATTACAACACTTCGTCAGTATATTTGTAAAGAATCAATGCTGCAATGCCCAGCAATGCAGTCTTTGAGTTACCATTAGATATTTTGCTACAAGGCTTTATGCAAAGAGCTCCCATTGCAACATCTACAACCTCTGTGCGATGAGGTTCAGTGCATTTTTTCCTGGCCTTTTAATATAAATTCACAACACCCACTGTCACCTTATCGGGTGTCATGTCCCAGGCAATCTAAAAATCACACAGTCTAAGACCCTTCACAGGTAGTGGGTTACCTTCATCCTACTGCCACTAGGAATTGTGCAACTTCTCTAGAAGATCCGTTGCAAGTCTGTCAGTCCAGACTAAACCAAAAACAGGATATGCTCCTTTTCCTTTGAGGAGGGCTTCTCACTATGCCTTCCACCAGAAGCTCAAAATCTTAATCATGATACAAGATTAAAGACAAGCTTGTTTCTTAGCTTGGATTCAGGCAAAGACAGAAGAGTCAGTATTACCCTAATCACCGACACACTTTATTTTCTTTTTTTCCCCCCTCTTTTCTCCTTAAGGGATTGTGAGAACCAAACAGATACTAAGAATATTGGGGTCTACTCTTACCATAAAGTCTCTTGACTTGGCTGCCTATAGCTGGAACTAGCACCCCGTTCTCCATGTAGCCTTTTGAGGAAGCCACCTGTATCACTCATAAATGAATAAGCACACTGGAGACTAGTGAACTGCATGCCTAGGTGTCTGTCAAACTGCAGTAGTGCTAATAGATAAGGCTCTTCTAAAGCACCCCAGCATCTGTATGCTGCATAAATAAGTCAGTCCCAGACAGCACAATGTAATGTGCATTAATCTTTTTCTCATGAACTCCTCAAAATGCATCATGGTTCTACATCTGGTAACAGGCCTGATCCAAACAGTGTGGGTAGAAGCTACATCCTGCTCTGCAACGCACTCTGCCAGGTAATTCAGGACAGCTCTGTTTCTTCATCCCTGAACACACAGTGGACACGTTTCTTTGCATTGTAATACACCTGCCCGCAGCGCAGACGCGGCTCATCTTGCTGGTACCAGAGCTCTTCACTGAACTCTGGGAAGAAGAAGGCAATTTCTCTGCTGGCTGATGCTGGTGAATCTGTTAGAACAAAGACAAGTGGATACAAAGGGTACCTCAAATAGACTAAGCCTCAGAGTTGAGAATGTAAAGTGCCAGGCTTTGTGTCACCAAAGAAGTGCAAATGGATTCTGCAAAAGTGAGAAAATTATTAACTTTGATTCCCAGAGCAGGAGGTGAGCAAAGACAGAGCAAATAGCACCATTCATGTGTACAGAGCTCCAGTCCTTACCCAGCACTAGCCCTACCTGAGCCATGCGTGGTGTTCCTGGTGTCTGTAAGGCCATAAGTTCCTCGGATGGAGTCCGGCACACAGTTTCGGGCTCGAAATACTTTGGTGGGTCCCATAAGGGATCTCCAGAGGGCGATAGCATTTTCATGAGCCAAGATATAAGCCCACATGGGGCCGCTACGAGAAGGAACAGGGGAGATCAGAAGTAGATAAGGTTACAGCAGGGAACAGCTTCTCTGTTCCCTGTTTTGCTGTATAAACACAGCAAAAGCAAAGCAGCAGGAAAGTGCAACTGGCACATGGTGCTCAGCAGAAGGAGATTCAGGCCAGCCACTTCACCAAACAGTGAGACCACAGTTTAGTAGCAAGGTATTTGCTCCAAGTACCAACTTCCAGAGGACAGTACCCTGAGCTACTGCACAGATCTCTTTGCTGTCACAGCAAGGCTGGTCCCTGGTGCTTCCCTGGCCCTGAGCCCGCCTTCCCTTGAGAGTGCCACAGCGCTGTCTCCTGCGCAGAGACATCCCCCACCGGCAGCCACCCTGCAGGGCACGGGGCTCTCCTTACACACAGAGCTCTCCACCCGCAAAACAAAGCGAGCTCCCTCCTTATGCCCAGCACCGCTGCAGCCCGCAGCCTACCTGGCCATGAACTCCACGAGTCGCTGATAGAAGAACCGCCCTACGGAAGAAACAAGGCCTGAGCGGCGGCCCTGCTCCTCCCTGACCCCCTGCCCGGCACCAGCGAGCGCCTAGGGGAAGCGACGGCTCCGGCTCCCCGCCGGCCCGCGAGCTCCCGGGGGAAGTAGCAGCCCGGCCTACCCGCGTGCTCTCGGTAGAAGCGGCGGCTCTGCTCCCGGCCACAGCGCAGCTCCTTGGCGCGCACGATGAGGAAGCGATGGCTGAGGATGATCTCATGCACGGCCTGCGGACAGAGGCGCAGCGCTGGGACCGGCCGGGCCGGGCCGGGCCGGGCGGGGCCTCGGC